CACTCAAGTCATGTATTCTGTCTGTCTTGCTTCCGAAAGCAATGAATTAGCGCTGATTTATACATTGTATCTTAACGGATTGGTTGATTTTTCCCCACCGCGCTAACTGGCGACTTTGTCTCCCTTATATAAATCTAGCAAAGAAATACAAGGTTTTGTTAACCAAACACTAAACGTGCATCGACAGTATATGTCGTATGAATTAATCATCTCAAAAGTTTCCTTTTAATGAAACTTTACGTACGAGTCCAGGTTTCATCCCGCGCTTGACAGTGGTCTTACGGTAATAGTATTCTGCCTATATCATGCGCAGCGATGCGGCCGCTGGTTGGGCCCGAGAGAGCCCTAAGGCACGATGGGACGAGTGAGTTCCGCAAAAACGATCGCTGGGTGCCCCTATACCGTTGTATATTCCTGATCGAAACCGACAGGTAAACGAGCCCTTAGATTAGTGGTTAGAGTCGTTGGACTTCTAATTAACAGGTCGCGAGGTCGAACATCAGGTGTCCTACACCTGGGGGTTTGGTATGACTGGCTGACGACGGCTAATAAGCCCGAAATGGCCCGAAATGGCCAACGCCTTTACTTCTGCTTACAGACTTCATCCACAGCAGACGTAGACACTCCAGAAACTGTCATTTTGTTCGTTTAAGCAGACGTAAATTCCATGGTAGTCGGCGCTTTAGTTGCCTACCTAATGATCAGCCGGTTAAATTTGTTGCGCATAAACTGCCCGGAAAGGTGTATGGGCTAAACGGTTCAAGAGAGCTTTGGGAAGTGGTTCAACCTGCTGTCATCTGGACGAGCGAATTTGTCGTTTATGTAAGTACTATTTGAAATATATCAATGTCGAAATTACCTGGGCTACCAGCTGCCTTAGAGGAAGTTTTGATAAGGTTACCAAAAACGTATAGTGAAAAATACTAATCCTTTTGTTTGAAACTGGATACTGGAGAATTACCCTGGCATTTTACCTCCAAGTCCCTATCTACAAGGAAATAGGGCACAGGGAATACCGAGCGATAGGCTCTATGGATTCCGTGAACAGAATGCTTTCCAATTTTTCTGCTACCATATACATCGTGCAGTCTTATGATTGGTCATTTCTGCACAGCTACTAAAATATGGTACCTTTAATGTCGATGAAGTGTGGACCACGGTAATCTTGATGTTAAATATTAATTAACTCTAGATGAACCAATTCCAATAGCCATCTCCGAGGCTTTCAGAAACCACTTTTTCATTGCGCTTGACCTTTTGCGGCAAAGCTATTGTCGTTTAGAACAGTAAGTAATATAATGTAACATAATATATAATATAGTATAACTAATATAACACGCAACATACAGCTGTAAATTGAGAGCCTCCTGGCGGCCGCAGAAGTACCCCGGATTCGAATTCCAGGTCAGGTTTTATCCTGTGCGGGCGTGCAGCCACAAATTTTGATGGATGTCCGTACCCGCAACTCCGAGGAAGATTAGCTCGCTCCCCCCGACCACCCTCGTCTTAGCTCAAATCCCCATTTAGTCGACTCTCTCGAAAGCATCCGTGACTAGGAGAGCGGACATTGTAGATCGTTGTTTTATCATCTGTTCTCTACACCTCGTCATGCATCATTACTGAGCCCCCATCGACCTGTTCAAAAAAGCTGGAATGGAAGTCCATCTCGTATGGGGATTTCCCCTTAAGCACCTGCTCACCTCGTCGAGACGAGTACTCAGCTGTGGCTGCTTGGATATGTAGTGGGGGTAGGGAGGCAAAATGAATACCCAGGAAGGCCAGTAGGACAAAGTAAAGTCTGGCCAGATGTTCCTAAATAGAGCGTACACAAGCAGCTAAAGACGCACGCTTAATGCAACTGCTCAAAATGGTTTACGAAGTTGAAGAGATTGTGAAACGCTGTATCCTTTAAATATTCTAGTAGGACAAAGCTCATACGCTCGGCGCAAAGCTGCTGGCTCCGATTTTTGAGTCAGACATCCTGTTACTGAGTTTTAAAGACCATGTCCACTCCGTGAACAAAGTGATAGAATTCCGTTTCCCTTGACTCCTGAAAAGAGTCGTCTTATAGTTTGATGCAGGAGCCTGATATCTTGCTTAGTGAACCTCCTTAATGGGTGACTAAGAGTAACATTATGCAACTCAAGCAAACAATAGCATGTTTTATCTAGAGCATATCAAGATCATCACACTTACAATAGTCGAATTTGTGTGAATTGGATATAGAGAATTTCGGCACTTTCAATTCGAAGTTTTCGTGGGAAGACACATTTTTACGCGGTCAGTACGTTGTAATAAAGCATATACTTGTTACAGGTACAGAAACGGATCGTGCTTTTGTATATCTGAAAATACAACAAAGTCTCGGGGTAAGTCGAGAGAAGTATGTTCTATTGATTCCCTCCTAGAGGGCCCACAAATCCAAAACTGTCTCACAGACGATTTTACTCCGTGATATTGTAACTTTTGGAAGAAAATGCATCTGACTTAAAAGTACAATGTTCTACAAATTAACTGTGCGTTGTGACTAAAGCTACTCAACGCCCCCGTTTGTGGCGTTAGTTAGCTCCTGTGACTGACATGACTCTAACGGAACAACGCAGCCCCCCCCCAAAGGCCTGTGATTACACACAAACCTACAATAGGTGGACTAACTCATGAATTGCCAGTCTAAATTTTCGTTTTGAAAAGATTAATTAAGCAGGGTAGTAAAACTTATAATTGTACGGCGTAATTCTATAACAATTCAGTTACCTCAGGATTCCGTCTTTCGAAAAAACTTTTTGGCTGCACGCAAGACCTATACTCTGTAAAAATGACTACTTAAGTAGCATGCATTTTTCTCATTGATTTTCGACGCCCTTAAAAGTTCAATTATAAGTCATGGAAAACATGCATAAAAATATTCATTCTTTTGCCCATTCGATCGAAAATGAAGCCTTCTTCCAATTTTGCACTCGGAGAAAGAGTATAATTCGGATTTAAAGAAGTGTCTTATTGTGAGATTTTTTAATACCTTGATAAGGCCGTTCGCAAAATGCCATGACTCTCCCTTTACCAATATGGCTTGTTAAGTTAACAGTATAGGTCAAAAACACTGCTAAATTTTATGAACCCCACATGGTCTCCTCTTAATACCGTAGAGAAATGTATGGCTTCCCTAACTCAGAAAATATATGGCTTGTAGTTTGGGGACCCTGAATGCAGGTGTAACGGCAGGTCGGGCTGAAAAATTATTCGGGAATTTTTTTGAAAACCGAATTATACTGTTTCTTCGGGTACAAAGTTGGAAAAGGGCGTCATTTTCGACCGAATGAGCAAAAGAATGAATATTTATCTGCATGTTTTCCATGAAATATAACTAAACTTTTAAGGGCATCGAAAATCAATGAGAAAAATGCTTGCTATTTAAATAGTCATTTTTATACAGTGTATTGTTTTTGCATACAGTCAGGGAGAAGTTCGTTCAAAAGCCGGTATCCCGAGGTAAGGACATTATTTTAGAAATATTATGCACGATGATTACTTTTACAACCCTACGTAATTAATCTTTTCAAAAGATAAAACGCATTTCGAAATTTCGATTGACATTTCATGAGTTGGCCCACCGATCGTACATGCATGCAAAAAGTAGGTTGGGGCCTGTCCACGATGTCTGTCATCAACTGAAGAATTAGTACTTTAAACACAAAACTACCGGCGTGGAACGGCGGCGTTCCATGCAGTAAGAAATATGAGAACGACGTCCGGCAATGGATAGGGACATGACTAAGGAAACTTGGGCCGACGCATTCGTTTTTCCGCTTGACAAATATCATGAAAATTAAACATCCAGCACCGTTGATTTCTGTTTCATATGAATGAACTGATATTTTATGCAGCAAATTATATCTCTCGTCAAATCCACCAAGCAATAATCTTCCGGGATTTCTATACCACGGTGAGCTTGTTTTTTAAATTATTTCCCAGTTTAACTTGAGATTACCAGAAGACCGCCTTCGCAGTAAAGTGGTGAGTCAGAGCTTGGTCGATTTTGGAAGGCATGGTGTGTCACGTTATCTACAGAAATCGAGAGCAGAATCCAACAGACGACTAGCAGATAAGTGAGTGTTGATTGGAATGACCGGTTCTGGGTTGGCTACCGTTGCCAGTCAGTTCTAACAATCGTAGTCGGCCAATAGTGGATTTGCGGCCCGAAAACTAAGCGCTTCACTTTATGTTTACTTCGAGTCCGAGGATCAGGCGCCAATCGTCAACAGAAAGGTCAGAAATGGTAAAAACAGCCCCCATACCTCAATCAGTACACATTTGGAAAACTTTTGCTCGGCTAACACAAGGTCAACCTGCCAAGGTGGGATACGCGCTCCGTATAACGCAACTCAGTCTAACTTCAAAATCGATTTAATTCTTAGTGCTATCAGGTCAACCATCGTACAATTGGACGACGTCTCTCTTATATCCTAGCTGATAATAGCCCACGGGTTGAAGACGCTAAAATTTATAAATAAAAAGGACAATAGTATCCAGGTTTTGAGCTTGCATATACACTTTGCCAGTCCACAGTGGGCTCATAGACACTGATGAAGAAAACGACATTGTTTTGTGGGCAGACGGAGTATAATTTAGAGCAAAAGAAACAGAAAAAAGTAGGAGACACAGGTAAACATAAAAGCGGTCAGGTGATAAATATATTTACAGTGCACAGTTAAAATCAACATTTATTACATGATCGAAAACCTTTCGAGGTACGACGAAAATGTGAAATGCTCGGCGCACCAGTTGTCGAAGTTAATGCCGTGTGGGGAAGTTTTGTAAATTTATGGCGAAAGCGACAAGGACATGCTTGATAGTACTTATACACTCAGTCTAAGGTGTCTAAATGTGCGGTATGCAGGTAATGGGGCGGACTACAAACAGGACTACGTCTAGGAATGAAGGGAATCGAGGAGACCGAATAGAGGTGCGGAGACATTTCAAAGGAAGATTAATTGCACGTCAGCTTAAACGAGGAGGCATCCGCGGAGTTTCTTTGTCCATGAGCCTAAATCGGGAAAGACGCAGAGGCGCGGAAAATTATGTGACTTCTACTATGCGAATAAACATTAAACCAAATGAAAACCCGACGAAGACGCCTATGTATGTAGATTCACCAGGACTGTCATGACAAAGACAGAGCAGTAGGCCGTAGAACTAAAATCATAATAAGGTTTCGGTTGAAAAGAGTGACTTAGATGGGGGTGGGGGTGCAACATCGAGAAGGGTGAAACCTAATTTCAAGTCATCTCATGCATGCGATACTAAGTTTTGATCATCTTTCGGTTAAACAGAAAAGAACGTATTCGCCAAAAATGACTGCTTAAGCAGTGCGCTTGTTCCAGTGATTTCCGTTGCGCGAATTCCGGAGTATTTGACTGAATAGATGGAAGAAGCGGTTTTTGAAGTCTTTTGTGTGGCTTTAAGTTATACACAAAGTGTGTACGTGAAAAAAAGGATATTTTGCGGTCTTAAAAATGATCAATAATTTTGAGACGCTAGAAATGGTGCTTAAGCAACACAGCGTCCGCATGCTTGTTGACGCTGCCTTTGGGGCACACAAAGTGATTCACAACTATCATAAAATTTTGCTAAATCTAAGTTGTCTTTTCCTAGTCACGTAAATGGATGCAGGAAATCGCCTAAGTGAATAGTGCGTAATGGATGATTGGGTAACCGTAAAGGGAAATGCGACAGTGAGAGTTAACGTAGGGAATATTCTCCGCATCTTTCAGGAAAGTAACGCAATTCACGTCAGTTTGGCTAATGTTGGTTGATTAAGTGGTCTTTCTTAAGGAGTGTAACTTGCGCAGACGGCCAGGGGAATGTGCAACAAACTGTCATGATCGACGCGCCCCAAGATTTCATTACATGTCAGTCAGTGTAGCAAATTCACTTAAATAGATTTTAAAGAGAAACCATATTATACAACCTCAATGTTTCGCCAGTTTCGTAACCTGCCGAGTCAAATAAAATGACTGTATATTTGAACAAAAATCTCCTACGCACCAGACACTTGATAGAGCCCGTGAATTTCCCATAAACTGAGCTATTATTTAACTAAAGCGTACTGGGAAATATTTAAGCCTCAAACAGCCAAGAAGAATTTATCGCCAAGCGAGATTTAGTCCGTGAGGTCTGTGGTTTTAACTCGTGCAGATACATGGTTTTCTATCGATGCGAATTTCACATTCGCCCTACTACGTTTTGTCCGAGAAGGATATGTCAACTTTTCAAGTAATCGATGAGTGTAAGCAATCTGACTCACTTAAAGACAATGATAAATAAGTAGTTATGGATGCTACTACTAAAACCCAAAATTCCGACAGTAATGTAGCCAGAGGGATACCATCAACTGCTTATCTACCTCCGAAAAACTACAGGAAAGTAGGACTTTAGGTTATAACTGATAATCAAAAAGTTATTGCAAATTTGATAATGTAGTGGAACAACTCCCCAGATTAGCAGAAAAACGTCCATATACGTGAAACCGTTGTGCACGGAAACACGGATCCCAGCATTACAGGTGACCTTGCCCTTAACTCCAGGGAAGATTGGAGTTAGGAGGCCAAGGGTCATGAAGGTTAGTGTTCGAGTGGGACCAGTAGGGCTAGGATTAGAGTAAGAGTTATGGTTAGGGTAGGACGGGAGAATAGAAATTAACACGAGGCCACCTACATTACGGGGGTTTATATCCCATGTCCAACCCTTGAAACTTCTAATAGGATCCTTTTAGAGTTAACCCTCAAAAAGTAGCATGCCCGATACCGGCATGTTAGGCCAGCATTTCTGGTTTAAATAGCAAAGCAAGAAAGGGTAACAGGCGGCACACAGCGCTCTCGCCTAGAAATTTGCAGCGACTGGCCTTGCTAATGGACAACCGGCAATAAATGGGTTCATTCAACGGTCACATAATTAATGTAACAAACTTCAGGTAACTCTTACAGATGTTCTCCCACAATATTTGGGCAGGACTATTCTTGGCAACTGAAAAAGAAACTGGTGTCATGCTTCAACATGTAGATAAGTTAGGCCAATTTACTGATGGCATAAACTATGTGGTTCCGAGTTGTTTTGCATGAAGAGTGACACCTTGCGTTATAGCTTGTAGAATAAACGAAAGCAGAGATAGCACATCTACTGCGTGCTTAGCTAAATCAGGGGTATGTACAGAGATTCACGTTGTAGACTTACAAATGGCAATTACCCGGGTGGTGGATCGCCGCCCTCCGTAGGTGGCTTTGAGTCTGAACCCGGATGCACGTGCCGCGAACGCTTACGACGACCGCGTTTGCGAGAGGGTTGTGCAGTCTTCACTCGCTCCTCGAATTCTGCCGCCGCCGCCGCCGCCTCGCCCTGGTCCCCACCTGGCGGCGGCATTTCTGGGGGTAGAGGGAGGGAACTGATGGATTCTACGCTGGCTTCGGCCCTCAACTCCCCCTTCGATGTGGGCATCTCTTGTTCTACTGACACTGTGTCTTCCTTCTTGCTGTCAGCTGCAAAGTGGCTGCTAGAAGCTCCAGCAGCATCTGTATCTGCTATATTCTCACTTTTCTCCAGCAGTGACCCATCTGCGGTTGTAGCTGTGCCCACATTGGCTGCAATGGCATGCGGCACAGTGACTGCGCGAGACACTCTCAGGGGCGCCACAGGTTTCAGAGGAGCCACAAAAACGGCGGTCGTAATCTCGCAAATCGAACCACTCTCCTCCTCCACGACTTCGTGCAGTTCTCGACCAAGGCTACAGGAGGTCCGAATTGCTAGAAGGTCCGGTGGAGGTAGAGGAAAGGGTTCAATCTCCTCACTACCTTCACTGGCTGAGCTGGTCGACGAATCAGCGTCTGATTCACTGTCGTCAGAAGCCTCACCATCCTCTTCATCCACCCCACGTTCCTCCTCGGGTTTACGTATTTCCGTATTTGTTGAAAAGGCAGTGGTCATGGTCGTTGTGGTAGAAGACACTGTTGCAGAACCCTGCTTGGAGCTAATAAAGGTGGAAATTTGTGGCGGCTGCTGAGAAGACGGACTGTGCAGGCCGGACGGTGTTCGAGCTCCTGAGGAAAGACACGTAAAAGGCCGATCGAAGC